ATCAAACGTTGATATTGTCGAAGTAATGTACTATTTGGATTACGTATGTGCGTTATTGATTACAATGATAACGACCTTTACTGATATCGAAATTATTCAAATTGGAATGATATATCAGACAATGAAGATCGATTCATTTTTTTCACTGTGTTTACCACTTTCACCAAAAGAATTACAAAATCATGTCTTTTTCAATCAACCAGCATTGTGTTTCGATGCAAACAATCAATTTTATGGAATTGACTAGGTTCAAAATCGATTAATGATTGCTCAATCAATCATCGTTGGTGGTCGATAGCAATAAGTGAAAAAATTATGATTTATAAAACAATATAGATGCAGAGAAGTTTTTCTGAGTCAATGGAAAGACTTACATTTCGGCTTAGTCCAGAAAGACAACGATAAGAAACACAGCGACGATCGACGACTTCTGTTATTTCTTAAAAATGAACTTACATGTATTTAGTCTGCTTCATGTGTTTATGCTAGCCATTCTTTGTTATCATGTTTCGCGAATAATTAATTATTGTGTTTTTAATTTTAGTCGACGATAAACCGATTTTTTTATATTCTTGAAATAAAATAGAAGTGTCTTATCTCCTCAATCACGTTTGATGCAATTTCTTGTGCTTTTGTTTTACCACAAACAGTACTCTTTCCGATCGCATCGATTCTACATGACCGATTATTGTCATAGAATGATTAACTAGCATTTCTTTAGCGACCACTTCTTGCAGTAAATCAGATCATTGTGGAAAATATTCTTGTAACTTATGAGCTATAAAGAAAATGTAGATTTCTCCAAATGAAGCACTTCGAATTATCACACTTTTATATAGGGCATCATTTACGACAAGTATCTTATGCGAATCATGTTCGGCATGACGTTTGACATTGTTTGAACGACTATTTAGCAATAGGAAGAGTGAAGATGGTGTGCAGTGTGCAGAGCTTTCGTTTGGTTTTATTCAGGAGGGGGAGAAAGTCAGGGAGAAACTAGCCGAAACTTAAAGAAAGCTTTGGATTTGGGAGAAAGTGCCTGATTCTTCTTGACAACCTAAAGAGAACGCATTATCTTTCTCAAAAACAGCTGCTTTTCTTTGAAATCTTGAAATAAAGTTTCGCTTTAGAAGAAAATGGCTGTTTCTTTTTGAAAGTTAGGCAGAAAGCTTTCTCTTTTACATGGTTTTTGTGCATTTCCTCGATTGAAAATACCGAAAAACCCACTAAACAGCAGCTAACAAAAATTTCCGGGAAGAAAGGCAGAACGCAAGAAAAGAATTAGGTGAAGGAAAATCCCCATCTTCTACTCCCTAATCATATGACCTGACAGCTGCAATTTTCTTTATATAGCAATAGCAGATTCAGATTCATAATCTCTCACTTGTTAGTTGAGTCAAGATATCAGAAAGAGTCTTAAATTCATAATGATTTCCTCTATATGAGTCTAAGATTTTGAAATAGCAGATATCGTATACAGTCGTGCTCTGGTATTTTTCGGGCTCTTGCAGTCAGCCGCCTTGTCTATTCGAGCTTTGCTCGAGTGGCAGCCTAGTTTTTTTTTCTTTGACCTGTTTCAGTTTCTGTTTGAGTTTTATTTATTTTCCCTTTGATCAAAGAGAAAATAAATAAAACTGAAAGAGAAACTGAATCAGGTCGACTGGATTCAGTTTCTCTTTGAAAGAAAATAGCTTGTTCTCTTAAAAAAGTTGGAAACAGAACTTCGCTTATGCATAGCCAATCTAGTCCACCGAAAGATTAAACACCGTTAGCTCTTCATAACAGAAGATTTTCTGGGAGAAAGGCAGAATGTAAGAAAAAATTTACGAGGGGGAAATCACCCTGCTTCCCCCTCCTAATCGTAAGCTATGGCAGTGTGGGCGTTGCTGTGTATATGTCAAGAGAAATCACCTACAACTCTAGCCATACATAAAACATGCCTAGCTATCCTCTTCCACCCAGTCACTCACATCCTCAAATCATACATGTGCCGCTATGGCCGTTGTTGCAATCATCGATACCTCTGGACATTTTGTTCGACAATGAATCTATGTGAATGAACATTGTGTATATGTCTCATGTGTAAAGTCATAGTGTCTTCGTGACAGAACACCTCTGATGTTGTGTGTGCGTACCTAACGATCATTTTCTACTAGAAGCATTTCGAGACAGTCATTTATTTCAATAATAGATGGAAGAAAACTTGATCCGATAGTCCTGTTTTTTCAACTTTTTTTCCAGATCCAAAGAAACGACACCTGCTCCCACCTCCAACTCTTGAAGTGTCTATGAAACATAAAAAAGCAACATTCAATCAGACAAGCAGGAAAAAAATGAACAGACTAGTTACCCTGTTGTATTGGAGAGCTTCGGTAAGATATTGTATTCCTCTCTCACTGATGTCATTTCCCCACAGATCAAGTGTGTTCAGTGTCTGGGTGAAAATGAAGTGTCAAGGAGACAGCGAAACAAGCGCAAATTCTCTACCGTGTTGTGTCGAAGCACTTCGGCAAGATATTTTGCTCCTGTATCGCCTATTTGATTCCATGCGAGACGGAGTGCAGTCAGTATCTGTATGAAAGAGAACAGTTGTTTTCTAAATCAGCTCGAAGAAATGAACTGAACAAGTCGATATTGAGGTAACTGAGTTTATACGATTTTGTTTTTAAAGTATAGAATAGATTCGTCTTTCAAACAGCGTACTTATATCGTATGATGCATCTGGACGAGCCTACAGTGTAGATCTAGATCTGATATGGAATGATATCATAGACATAAAATGAGTGAAATAAAATCAACCATCTGAATTGAATTTATTCAATTATATAGACACATCTGTGGTGTAGGTGAATGAAAATAAGAACAATAGATTCCTATAAGAAAACGTGGAGTAGCACTTCATGCATTTTATTCATTGGCTTTGATCAATGCAACTGGCTGTGTAGAGAAGCAGAGTACAAGAACCGATAATGGTACAAAATGTTGAAAGCACTTTGTTTGCAGTTTAGAGTCGATAGTTAATATAGAACGTGATTGACTTCGTTGAGATTCATTTTCGTGTCATACGCGAAAGAGATATTTTCTAATAATTTTAGACTGGAGTCATATTGCTGAATACATAGAATATTTTCGTAGCAGGAAAAGAGATGATAATAACAGAGAAGTTAACACCTATTCTCGTTGACAGTTTGCGATAAATTGATACGAGCAAGTTTTTCAATGTAGTTCATTGTGATTGTTCTAGCTTCTGTTATCATTCATTTCTTTACTGTTTTCTTGAACGTATACAGCTCAACATCCTCGGACGATATCAAATATCTATCACAACTGCTTCTACTTTTCACAAAGTGATCATTCGAACTGATATGAATACCAGCTTATATTATTTGAGGCTGGATGAACAGAAGACTCATTTACTCACGCTCTCAAACATATACTTAAACACGGGGAAGGATAAAAAAATTTGAACAAAGTGAACTATTTTCACTCTGTTGTACATGCGCAAGAAGAAAATTGGTAAAAGCTTTAATTAAGAGTCTTGCATCTGGATCGGATATCGTCTTATGAGCAAATCACTTCCAAATATTAGATTTATTCTCGTTCTTATTTTATTAGGGAGTGATGATTACAGAACAAGAAACAAACAAACTTGTGATCCTACTCACTTCATTCTTTTGAATGGCCTGGGCAAGAATGGCAATACCTACATCAGTAATCTGATTGCCACTCAAATCCAGTTCTGTGCTTTCATTTTGCAAGAGTACTTGATATATCACCTGTTGCATGTGCACATCAGTCAATTTCTGAAATTGGTAAGACAATTTCACTGAAGATAGCGGCTTTAAAACCACCGCTTTTGCTATTAACGATGGTTGTGGATCGATCTCTCGCATTTCATGTTCATTTACAGTCATCTTTTGTAAAAAAAAAATCTATATCAGTAACAGTTCGAAATATACACAAAAACTAGTGGGAAAAAAATATTGTCCATGGTGACTTGTGGATATCACGCGGTCATAATAGTGTAAATAGTACAATTTTTTCAAGTATGCAGCTCATCTAACTTCATCATTTCATGAAGAAGGACTTTGACTGATTGAAAAGTGTTTTAGCGAGTCTATTTGGTTTAAGAAAAGGCAAATCTTCGATATTCTTTGAAGACGACGAGACGCTTATTTTTTCAAATCACAAACTATGCATGTGTGCTTCCTATCTAGAAAGCTGTAGCAGCTTGCTGAGCTATTTAAAACTCACGAGGTAACATATGTAAGTGTAAAATCGCTTTTGAGTCAAGACTATGCGCATCATGTAGGCGTTAGTGAGTCTAGAAGAAGCCCAAAAGAACAAGGGCTGCTAGGTCTATCTTTCCGAATTATGACCGTTTTATTGAATTTTTTACCCTATGCAAGGTACTTNACATCTGTCTCGAAAATGACAGTCTATCTGTCGAAACGTCGACAATTTTAATAAAAAAATAGAAAAATTAAAATATAATTAAAATTAAAATTTTCTCTATTATTATTTTAAAGTAAACAAAAAGAAATTCATATTTAAACAATATGAAATTTAAAGCTGCTGTTATCTCTGTTAAATTTATTATCAAATTGTTACCCATGAAACAAAATAATTATCTTCAAATTATAAGGCAGCAATATGGGTCATATATAGCAACCAACGTATTTTATTATGGAAAGTGTCAACTTAAGATCTCACAAGTGAAGTTGCACTTAAAATTTTTAATGTCCTGTAAACAGGAAAAATTAATACCAAAATTTGTGCAATTTAAAATCCCGTCGACACATTTACATCATCGACAGGCGATCAACAATTGCTACAAAAACATTCTTGAAAATGAAATAAAGATAAAAAAACGTGAGTTAACCTGTTTGTATCGAAGTTCGAGAAATCTTACATCATTTATTGATCTTAACTTAACTCATATGGTTAGATGTAGACTTAGGAGAATTATAGATGAAATAGTGGTACAGAAAAACGTAGAAATGAGTAATACACATTCTAAAAAACTAAATGTATTAAGAGAATCAAGACAATCTATATCAACTAATATAATTAAGTCACGTATTTCACCATTAACAAACGTTTCAAAAAAGATTTTAACTAATGATGAAATTAAAATATTAGAAAACGGCTTAGATTATGTCTACCCTAGTAATAAATTTGATGAAATAGCGTTCATAAGTAATATTGAAACATATTTTGTAAATCTGCTAGGCCATTGTACTGATAAAAAAGATTATTCAAAAAAAGATTCTGATGAACAAATAACTTATAATTTAACACCAACACAATTGCAGTATGCTAGCCGAATAAGATCAGTTTGTAATAATTTTCGTTTCAAAGCAAGTCAAATAATTGCCGAGAATAAAAAAGCAACCAACGAAGTAAAGCAAGTATTAAAAAATCTATCTAAAGATAATTCTATACAAATAATGAAACCAGATAAAGGTAGAGGGATTGTAATTATGGACAAAACGGAATATAACAATAAAATGCTTCAAATTCTAAACGATAAAAACACATTCAAACAATTAGAACAAGACGATACTCTAGCACAAGAAGATAAATTAATCAGAAAACTCAAACAATTAAAAAACGACGGATTCATAACAGAAAAAGAATATAATTTTTGTAGACCTGTTGGAACTCAACCAGGTAGAATATATGGTCTACCAAAAATACATAAATTAAATTTACCACTTCGACCTATTGTATCTGCTTCAGGAACCTTTAATTTTAATCTCGCTAAACTATTGGCAAAAAAATTAAATCACTTGCGAAAAAACAATTCAATTATAACAAACACATTTGATTTTGTCACGAAACTTCATTCATTACGGTTTAATCCTACTCAAATTAAACTAGTCTCTTTTGACATAACTAGTTTATTCACAAAAGTTCCATTAATACGCACTATTGAGCTAATACTTTTAAAAATGTACGGACCGGAGCATACTTGTACTTATAGCGAAAAACAACGGGAGGATTGGTGCACAAATTGCAAGAACAGATATGAAATGAAATGTCTATTAGAGACATCAACAAAAGAAACTCATTTTACATTCGATAATAAAATCTATTCTCAAATCAATGGTATTACTATGGGCTCCCCTTTGGGTCCATTATTTGCCGATATATACATGAATCATCTAGAGAATAAATTAATGCCTCGCCTTGAAAGAAATGGTATTTTATTGTGGAAAAGGTTTGTTGATGACACGTTTGTTATTGTAGATAAAAATGCTGATATTGATAACATAATTGAAATTCTTAACAGTTTCGACCCAGATATAGTTTTTACTTGTGAACAAGAAAAGAAGAATTCGTTACCTTTTCTTGACATTTTTATCACACGTAAACTAATCAATAATTTTTGGCAATCTACAAGTTCTTTTAACACAGACTTATATAGAAAATCTACATATACAGGCCTTATAACAAAATGGGATTCTAGTGTCCCACATTCTTACAAAGTCAGTACTTTAAGTAGTATGATATATCGCGCCATAAAAATATGCTCTTCTTTTACACTAATGCATAAACAATTTCAATTCATAAGAAAGATTGCAATAAAAAATGGTTATCCAGAAAATTTCATACAGGCACAAATTAGGAAAACTCTAGGTAGATACTACGATAAAATAAATGGAACTCAAATATTTCGATCTCAAAAACAAAAAAACAAAATAAACGAAGAAACTGATCAATCAATTAAAAAAAGACAAATATTCATTGATATTCCATATATTGGAAAACCAACTGATATATTCGGAAAACGTTTAATTAATCTTGCAAAAACTATAAATCCACAAATACATGTTCAACCTATTTCTCGACCATCACCATCAATATCTAAGTTTTTTCCACAAAAAGATCAAATACCTAAAGACCTTCAATCTAATATTGTCTACATGATTAATTGTTCTAATTGTGAATCATTCTACATAGGTAAAACAATAAGACAAGCAAGCAGACGTCTTAATGAACATGGTGCAAATCAAAATCCTTCTACTAAGACTAAATCTCAGTCTTCTACAATAACTCTAAATATAGATAATTTACGTAGATCAGAAAGAAATAAAGGTAAAACCGTTAATTACTTTCCAATAGACGAAATAGAAAATAATATTAATGAACAAACAAAAGAAACTAATTCCGCTATAAAACAACACGAAATAACAAATAATCATATAATTAATTGGAGTGACTGGAAGATTCTAACTAGAGATACAAAACACTATCGCTTACTAATTAGAGAATCTTTATCTATAGTTCAATATCAGCCTATACTCAACAAAACTACTTGCTCTGTACCACTAATCATCTATCCAGAAGGACTACAAATAACTAAACCTAAAGTTAAGATTAAATCAATGTATCATACACTACCACGGGGGGAAGGTCAGTGTTATGAGCGCTCATAACACTGGTTCCAACTATAGTAGAGGTATCTGTAGGGTTTCTGGTTGGAGAAACAACAGATGTTCACTTTTTTCGTTCTGTACATCATATTTACTTTCTTTTTCATATGAATCATTAACATCTGTCTCGAAAATGACAGTCTATCTGTCGAAACGTCGACAATTTTAATAAAAAAATAGAAAAATTAAAATATAATTAAAATTAAAATTTTCTCTATTATTATTTTAAAGTAAACAAAAAGAAATTCATATTTAAACAATATGAAATTTAAAGCTGCTGTTATCTCTGTTAAATTT